CAGCGGAGGCGGGAGGACCCTGCGGGAGAGGAGAGGAGGTGAGCACGGCCATCCCGCCCGGGCAGAGTCGTCCCCTCCAGCCCCGACCCACGTCCCCACGAGAAACCCAATGACAGCAGGACACGGCCCTGCTGCAGAGACCCTCTCCCCCCTGCTCCCCCCAGGATGCTCCAGCCCCGGCTGGAGGTCGGGGCTCAGCCGGGGACTTACTCTTGGACCGGCAGGACCAGAAGCACCAGAAGGACCTTGTTCACCAGGAGAGCCCTGTGCAAAGCAAGGAACAAGAAGAGGTCCCATCAGCATCTTGCTCTGCTTCCAAGATGTGGGGCAGCACCCGGGGCCACCGTCACCCCATGGGACTTACAGGAGGACCAGGTGGGCCCTGGAGACCGGAGAAGCCTCTGTGACCCTTCATGCCTCTGTCACCCTGTTCACCGGTTTCACCTTTGTCACCACGGGGACCCTGTGGGCCCTGGAGGAGGAGGAGGAGGAGGAGGAAGATGTGTTGAGCGGGGTCGAGGCCAGCCACTGCCCCCGCGCCCACGGGGACGCAGAAGCACCAAGGAGGATGGAGGAGAACATCAACTTACAGCAGGACCACGAGCACCAGCAGGACCAGGGGGGCCAGCGGGACCTTGGGGACCCTGGGACAGGAGAGAAGGGGACAGGTTAGAGCATCCTCCGCCTTCTGCTGCCCCCGGCTCAGGACAGCGACCCCGAGCCGAGCGGAGCGGTGGGACGTCTGGCTTCCCAGGGAAGCTCCTCCAGCGGCGAGAGCTGAGCCCGGGGCCGGACCCTGACCCGCCGCGGGTTGGCAGGATCAGTCCTTGCTCCGTAACTGCGTCAAGCCCGGGGGTGACCCCTGGGCTGGGGAGGGGCGCAAGGAGGGGCGCTGGGCAGAGCGTCACTTACGGTCTCACCGCGATCTCCGTTCTTGCCAGCAGGACCGACGGGGCCAGGGGCACCGGGGGCACCGGGAGCACCAGGGGGGCCGGCGGGGCCAGTCTCACCACGGTCACCCTGTGAGGAGGAGGAGGAGGAGGAAGAGGAAGAGGAGAGGTCAGTGTGGGCCAGCGCAGCCCCATCGCCCCCTCCCGCGGCCCCCTCACCAGCCCACTCACCTTGGCACCAGCAGCACCATCGCGACCGGGGGCACCTTCAGCACCGGGAGCACCCTACGGAGGAGCAAAGACCCCCTCGTTAGGGCAGGCAGGGGCTAACGAGGGCCCGGGTGGCACCGTCTCCGCTCAGCCCACCACGGGCCCCGCCGCGCACCGACTACAGCAGCATCCATGAGTGCCACGAGTTGGCAAGTCCTCAGCGCAGCAAACCCAAGGCCGATGTGTCGGGGGTCCTGCACCCTCCCCAACACCGACGGTTGCCCACGGCCGCTCACCTCACGTCCAGCTTCACCGGGGGGTCCAGCCAGGCCGGGGGGACCCATGGGGCCGGGAGGACCGCGCTCGCCGGGGGAACCGGAGGGACCTTGCTTGCCGGGTTCGCCCTGCGGAGAAGAGAGGACGGGGGGGGGAGCGTCAGACACCGGCGAGCATCCTCCCCCCTAGGGCCGCAGCCACGGAGGCCACACGGGTGAGTCGGACCCTGGGGGGG